ATACTAGTGCAGCGCTCTACCAATTGAGCTAACAAGCCAACTGGGAGCAGGCCGATAAGTTGGTTCGTAATAAACCCGTGAAAGTGATAAATGAGATAGAATAAATATATGAAGTTCATATATTTTGAACTGCGGTATTAGATACGTCTGATGCACGATCCTCGCAGTAGATAGCGCTATTTATGCAATAGCGAAAATCAGACCTGAAAAAAATCAGGCCTGTACGGGACTCGAACCACTGACCTCTGCGATACTAGTGCAGTGCTCTACCAATTGAGCTAACAAGCCAACTGGGAGCAGGCCGTTAAGTTGGTTCGTAATAAACCCGTGAAAGTGATAAATGAGATAGAATAAATATATGAAGTTCATATATTTTGAACTGCGGTATTAGATACGTATGATGCACGATCCTCGCAGTAGATAGCGCTATTTATGCAATAGCGAAAATCAGACCTGAAAAAAATCAGGCCTGTACGGGACTCGAACCACTCTACTAACTATGGTGAAGATAAAAAAAACAGATTTTGAAAAGTTTGACCAAAATCTCTGAAAAGAGAACCTACTAGTTTTGATTAGTTATGACACCTACCCTTCCTACAACTATAAACTTCTGCTCGCATAGATGTGTGCCCATGGTAAGTCTTTGGATGAAATCGAATGAGGCGACAATTGAATGGTGACAGAAGAAGGTGCTCCACAATTGTGTTTCTGTCCTTGTTACCTAAGAATTCCTGAAAAGTCCAAAAGATCGTTAAGGAGTAAGAAATTAGATAGTTATCTGACCGGAAATTCAAAGCAATTCATGTTGATTAGTGAATAGAATCATGGCATGGAGCGTCTGAAGGACGTGTAGGTGGCACCGAAAAAAATTTCAGCTATAGATCAAAGTAAACGCTAGCCGCACTCGTAAATATGTTTCACTAAGAGTAGATAGAACCCATTCTCTTTCCATTTTTTAAGACAAGCAGTACCAGTGAAATTAGAAGAAAATCCAGTTCAAACCTTATGTCATAACGTTAGTAATTTGCTTTAATATCCACGATCAATTGTTTCGACCTTTTACTGTCCCTTTTTTTAAAAAAAAACCTTCTAAATCTACGAAAATTTTGACTTACCCATGTGATACTGTTTTCTTTATACTCTGCCCAGTGCATCCCATCCACACTATAGGACAGAGTGTACTTTGTTACCCATTGTTGGAGTCTTGTCGCCCCTGAGTTGCTACCTTGGTAACTCGCACCAGTTCCCCGAGGTCTATTTGAAGCCACTGTTTGCCATTATTAGCGCCCGATGACCAGGCTCCGTATCCTTTGCTGTTTGACTGTAAGTTCAATCTGGAACGTGCTGGACCATTTTTGCTGCTTGCACTTGAAGAAGCAAAAAATGCAGCGTCTGGTACATGACCGTTTTCCAAGCCAAGAGGAAGAGAGCAACGGTAAACTGTGAAAAGAAGAATAGAAAAAGATGTTTTTTACTTGTCACGAGTGTGGAACAAAGAAAATATTCTGACTGCCCATCAGAAATCGAACATCAAACCTTCGAAATCCATGCTCCAATGCTTTACTACCAAGCCACAGAGACTACGAGCAAGGCCATGCGAACTGAGTTCAAATATCACGCGTATGACGAAGGCGGAATCCGAAGGTCTGAGGTACGATTCCTGACGGGAACTTAGACTTTTTATTTGATTTACCATCTCTCTATTTGCAAAACGAGAATACTGATTTAATAATAAAACACAAAGATTGCTTTGCTGTGTAATTAAACGTTCAACAATGGCAAATGTATATCTATAAATATTTATGCATACAACTGATTTTTTTATGCGCAAAAAATATTCTTTGCTTCACTTATATGTAGGTTAGTAGGGCTCTAGAACTCTGTATTTCAATTAATAATGCATCCTATCAAGATTTTTCAGTGATCTTAAATAATTTAAAGTTAACGACCCCGTGTAAGGGACCATGAGAAACTAATATGAAGAATCTAGGACCAGGACAAACGTGAGGTTAGAAAATCAATATACATTACTTCGGGTTAAAAACTATGATAAGCGACCTAAAGTCGCTTTACCTTTATTGCTGCATACCCAACAAAGGGTTAATATAAACACTCCTTTTATGGAGAGACAGCTTCCCGTGTTCGTGTTTTTCAAAGGTGGAATATACCTAAGAGATGAAAAAAGTAGATTTTAGTTATGGGTGAAGTTTTAATTTCAGTTCGCCAATTACTTAGCTGTTTAAGTTGACAAGTACGAAACTGTGTATGCTTGACATTTGGTCTCCTAAAAAATGCCTTAGTTGCAGCACACGTGTAAACCAACATCTCTAGAAATAATTTTTATCATATCTCGCCAACAGCAGATTTCACGATGGTACACCTTTTGAAGATTATGACGCAGTACATTTTTCCACTTACACCAGAATAGGAAGATAATTGTTTTTCACTGTATGTCTATTATGCTGAGGTAAAAGCGTTAATTGGTTAAATATATCTTTTAAAAACGTGAGCTACTGATTACCAATGAAAAGTGCAAAATGCAAAAGAGAGAGCCAGAAAGCGTGAGACAGAAAAAAATTTACAAGGGCGTAACTAAAGGAGTCTTGGGGTGCCCGTAAACCCCCCCTCTCTTTTGTAATCTTTTTTTCCTGCCACATTAAATACAACACGGTGCGGAGGTCGACGTGAAGATCTGGTGAGTACCCTTTCTTTCATACTGTGTGACCCCCTTAAAAAACACAATCCTGACTACGTCCTGTTTTATGAAAAAATTAAAAGAACAAAACGTTGAAAGAAGACATTTTAAAACGTGTAAAATCAACGAAATCTCAAAATTTTAAACAATAGCATACTGCTTTGGTAGCGGTACGGAGTTGTTTTATCATTACATCAATAATAAACCTTTTCCTCATGATATTTGACACAAAGCGATTGTACATAGCAAGTGATCAGAGATAAGTAATCAAACAAAACAAAAAACATTGGCTACCCTGAATAAACCAACAACTTTACACACTGCTAATAATTTTTTTGCTGATTCTGGAGAAGCGATATTTGCACGCAATGTTAAAATTTTGTTCTAAGAAAAATTGGCTGCCATGAATCTCAAATTTACAGAAGTAGCTAACACATTTTGTCATGTTTCACTATTTAAGAACGATGGTAAAGTAAATGGTGGTTTGCTGAATAAGAGCCTTTTAATAATGAATGAATGAATCAAAGATTACAAGTAAACTTTATCGTATATTTGATCTGAGAAGAAAAAAAAAAGAAGAATCATGAAAAATAAAACAAAAAACGTTCAAGAAAACATTGAGAACATCAACTCTCTCGTTGAACGCCCAGAATAGTTTAACACAATTTTTCCGTTATGGTTTTAGAACAAAGAATTGGTCATTGTTATTTTATTCATTATGAAAATCCTTCCATTGATGACTGCTACATCATGTCTTGTCACGGCACGGCACGGCACGGCACGGCGCGGCACGTCACATCAATGCACGTTAGCATCTCTTTAAGTCTTGTCACGTTACACATGTCACGTCAACCTATGTAAAGTCATGTTACTTCCCACCTAACCCCCCCCCCCTCCCTCCACCCCAAGCGCCTCTTGGAGCTTAACAACCAATTTTCCCAATGCCTTGCCCCTCCGTTCTAATGTCCGCATGTAAATGTTTTTGCTCATCAACTTTAGAACAAGTCTCGCGGAAAGATAGGAGGAAACGCATATCAAACTCACGGGGTACAAATAGTCTCTTACTGAATTTCGTGACCACGCCCACTTCATCGGCCCACTCAAATCGAGTGCGATTTTTGGATGTTATATCATCTTGCCGACTCTCTGTCTAATAAGTTAACAATGTACCACCGAAATATTGAACTATAATATCATGGCTTTCCATTTTGTGTATTTTCGTACTACAAAGTAAAGTTTTTCCCTCGTCATTTTCACCTTTTCCCGAGCGGGTCCGTCAAAATTAAGAAGGCGTTCGTGGTCAAAACAAGACCGAGCAAGGAGTCTTGGGGTGATTTCTCCCTTACGCAAGCGCAAATTGAAAATGTACCGCCAAAATCAAAGAGAGGAATAAATTTCCTTTGTTTTGATAAGTAAATTGTCGAACAAGGAGCAGATTGAACCTCGTCAAATGGCTAGTCAAAACAGCCACACCTTCCTCCTTTTGCTCGTTTCCTGTTTTGTAAGCGTGAAAGTAGTGGGAGAAGAATCGGGTAGCTCGGAAAGCGCTTCACCATCGTTATATCCCACCAATTGTTAGCTCAATTGGTAAAGCGCTGCACTAGTATCGCAGAGGTCAGTGGTTCGAATCCCGTACAGACCTGATTTTTTTCAAACGGACATCTTTGTAGTGCTGCGATTTGAAGTTTTAGCTATTTGCTTATTAGTTATGCAGTTTTACAATTGATTCCAATTATTTTTATAAAGCTAATTACCCGTTAACCATACACGTGCTTGGCAACGTTCGATACGAGTGGGAATATAAAGAGATAGCACAAGGAGTGATTGGGTCTGAGACAATTTCCTCATGAGCCAAAATATGGACGATCGACATAAATTGTTTTGACCCATTTAGAAGTTCTCGTAAACAGGAGATTAGATTGAACTGTTAGATTAAGGGCACTCGACTCTGCAGTCCACTTCAGTTTTAACTCTCTTGTAAAAAATTAAAGACCAAAGCCATACACCCAGGGAGAGTAAACTATATCACACACAGCTAAATATTTCAAGAGAACAACGAAGTTATAGTGTTAAACTACCTCAGACTTTAATTTCCCATGCCTTCATTCACTGAAATACGAAGCAGTGAGTAGGAATTCTGCTGGGTAAGTTCAATCGTTCAACATTCACTAAGATCACAGACTGTCGTCCTAAAGTAATTTTATTCCAAATTGTTAACCCCAAATCCGGCTTTTCTCTTCCTTCACTAGCATGATGGGCTAACAACATATGATGATCGTTAACCTAGCAGTGATTTATGAATATTCTAATTTCAGTATTTATCTGCAAATTGCTGACATCTTCATTAGATGATTGACCAAAAGGTTTTAGGTACCTAGGAAAGCATAAGTACAGAGCCGAAACTTGAGTTGATGGAAGAACATCATCAGTAGCGAGGTTTGCATCTTAATTTGACTCAACAGAGGGAATCCCATGTGTTCTGTAAAGGTGGCCTTACCTGCTGAGGTTCGCTCTAGTCATCCCTGCACTGGTTCATCAACAAACAACCTATCTTAATCGCCTGTGTAAATTCCCCCCTCGATATGAGGGTACAGTTAAAATGAAAAATTGTAGGGAGAACGGCTCCGCCTCTCATCCCAGCTTTTAATATAAAGATAGCTCGTCTCAAATCTGTTTTAAGACAAAACCACACTCAATATAACCATATTGGTTCTGTTGACATTTTAACAATCTCTTTCAATGATTATTTCCCTAGTTGGATGTTGTAACGGCACCTTCCTGCTTCAGTTAAGGTGGTTGAACACAGTTTTTGCGCGCGCTTTTGCTGATGCAATTCACCGCGCGGACAGGGACTACAAAAAACAAACATGCCGTCACTGAAGCGGTCATTTTATTTATTCAAAACGTACCCGCACTATCTGTGCTATATTTCTCTCTATGGTTGGCGCAGTGTATTGAGGGCTTTAATCTTTTATTACAAAGATATGTTAGAAAAGTTAACGGTGCAAAGAACCCAGCAATTCTCAGCTTTTTTGTCGTTACCGAAAGAACCCTGTTAAATGCAGCGCATGCGTAGTAAGTAAAAAAAATTGCGATTGAATGGAAAATTGCTTTCTCGGAAATATGCCTATTTCTTGAGAACCACTCATTAGAATTTCACGAAATTTGGCACCAAAATACTTTAGGAAATTAGCAACTGGAGTATTCAAAAAATTTAATTTTAAACAAAGGAAATTCTAGAAAATCGAGTGAACCTTCAACAAGAGATAATTAAAGATCTCTCTGTTAAATTGTTAGCAAAATGGTGTTAACTTGTGAGTATCGTTACAAGCTCGTTGCATGCAAATCATAAAGAAAATCTAATGACTAGATTTTCTACGGAGAAAAAAACCGATTTTAATTGCCTGTTTGTATCTATTCATGTCGCCATGGCAACGGCACATACGTCAGCTTAACTATCAAAAAAACAAAGTTTGTGTTGTTAACTTGCTTGCTGCCAGTTTTGGCGACCGAGAGATCAAGGGTATTAGAGAAAAGGGTGAAAGAAACAAAGGTATCAAAAACTGTGTTCAGCCACCTTAAGGTTACTGCTTTCATTGTAGTGACATGCGCACTTAGCTGTAATTTGGAAGCCCGAAGAGCTATTAACAATTAATTCTATCGTGGAGATTACGAGTGAAATTAAGTCTTACGTTTACGAGATAATTATGATATCCCATTCTAATAATCGTTCGTTTTCTAGGGACCTCTATATGTGAGTGAATAATACAAGACGCACTTGAAATTTCATCAATAACAGATTTCGTTTGGTTTAATGAGAAATCCTTTTACACAGTCATGTTTAATGCACTCTCTTCTTTGAAAGCTCTACTTTTCAAAACGCAGTTCCATTTCTGGAAATATGGAGGTTCGGACCCCCCTAAAAGGGGTCAAATCGTGTGAAAACAATTGCAAGTGAAGAATTTCACATCACACAGCTGATAATAAAAGAAAAAATTCACAAAGCTAACTGGCCTGCTCCCAGTTGGCTTGTTAGCTCAATTGGTAGAGCGCTGCACTGGTATCGCAGAGGTCAGTGGTTCGAGTCCCGTACAGGCCTGATTTTTTTCAGGTCTGGTTTTCGCTATTGCATAAATAGCGCTAACTACTGCGAGGATCGTGCATCATACGTATCTAATACCGCAGTTCAAAATATATGAACTTCATATATTCATTGTATCTCAAAGCTAACTCCGCCGTTGCGAAATGCTATTGTTTTATTTTTTTTTTCTTTAGTATTTTACATTACAGTGTTCTGCAAGACAGTTCAGTTAAATAAAATTTACAAAGTTGTCAAACACAACGGTTAAAAGTATGCATAATTTCGTTCTCTTCCCGGCTCAACTTCTTGTTCTTTCTTATTATATATTACGTGATAAAATCTCTTTCTTGAGGCTTAAAAACGGCCCTTTACCAATGGCTCTACAGCCAGGAGCGCAGAGTCAACTCGAACAACAACATCATCGTTGTTTAAGACAGGAATCACTCAACTAAAGGAACTTTTCCAGGAGTGAATAAAAACAAACGTCTCAAATCTAAAACACTCCAAGTCCCGAGTCTCATAGCACCTTAAGTATTAGGCCTGTCGATCACGGCGACTCCCGCATAACTACGGCCTATCGTCATAAAGGTTGACAACAAGCCCCACTGGTCTGTCCGTGGGTTGTAAACTTCAACAGAAAACAGATTACTGGAGCCGTCGTCGCCTCCGACAACAAAAAGTAAGCCATTAACCGAGGCGACACCAGCGTTCCTACGGCACATGCTCATGTCGCTTACTGGCCGCCATTGGTTCACATCCGGGTTAAAACATTCTACGCTTTTCCGCACGTGCGGCCCGTCGTGTCCGCCAATGGCGTACAAGAGCCCATCGGCTACACCCACTCCTGCTCCACTCCTTCGCGTGCTCATCTCTGCCATTAGACACCACTCGTTTGAGTTTGGATTGTAACACTCAACTGAGCTCAGGCAATGTCTCGACGCGCCGTCGTACCCGCCAACGGCGTAAAGCAGACCGTTAAGGACGCCTACACCGACGCTGCTTCTTCGGGTGCTCATCGGACAAATGGATCGCCATTCGTTTATCTTCGGATCATACACTTCGCAAGTGTTGAGTCCCGTTGTACCGTCAAATCCTCCTATAGCGTATAGCAATCCATTCATAACTGCCGCACCAAGTGTGCTGCGCCGCGCTTCCATAGAAGCTACGGGACGCCACTGGTCTTTCCCAGGATCGTAGCAGTCGACTGTGCGAACGCGCAGGGAACCGTTAAAGCCACCAACTGCATAAACGAGCCCGTCTAATACGGCTACTCCGGCACGGCAACGACGAGAGTTCATCTCGGCAACAGCGTACCAGTTCTCTCCTTTGAAATCGTAACATTCCACGCTGAGAGTGAAACAAAGCAAGTACTATTTACATGTAAGTCTAAGATTGCCGAAAATTATTGTACACATACGCACTAACTCGGCATGAAACGGTCACTTGTTCACTTTCTTACCTTCGTATAGCCTTGGGCGCCTGGCCTCCTACGACATACATCACTTTAGGCAATCCAATCGGTGTCCTGGGACGAGTTCTCGGTGACTGTACGGATGACCGCTGTTCATTGCTTAGCAGGTGATATTTCATAGCTTCGATGAGAAAATCTTTGCACATGTTATTGTTTTTAACCAGCGTTTCTGTCTCCACACGACTCACGAGGTATTCACGTGACAACAGAGGGAGCCGCACGTGCTCCATGAGTTGTGCCAGGCAGTCCTGCCTATGTTCAGGGTCGTAATTCACCCAAGTAACCACAGCCTCGAAAACCTTCAGTACAACACAAACACACATGTTTAAGTCTTCATGCTTTGAAACGACTAAAAGAACAAAAGTGATGTACGAATTTCGGAAAGATTTCCGTATAAACCCATAGCAATAAAAAACAAAGCCGTAGTCCCAAAGTTAATCTGTTGTTTTGCCTCTGTTTTCTTTTATCCATCAATTGTATGCATAATGAAGTATGGGGTTATACGGAAATCTTGTCCGAATTTCCTCTTTCTCCACTATTCAAGTGTCAACACACTAAAGCTATATGAGCTAATCAGGGAAGCGTATGAAGTATATGAAGCAAGTACACTGTATATGAAAAATAACAAGTTCGCGATTTTATCCAAGGTATCAAATTGAACTAAAAGAACAAACACACAATATTTAACCTCTTTACACCCTGACTTCAGTTTTCAAGTTCTAAATATTGCTCTCCATAGGTTTTCTATGGTACATGTACTTCGTTATCAACCTTTTAACTCTTAACATCAGTATGCATATTCTCCATACTCTTCTCTTTACATTTCCTAGGGTTTTGACAAGGAGAATTTGTTTAACAATCTAGACCTTCTTTAGTTGGTGATAATTTCTTTTGTAAGGAGAAATTGGACATGTTACTCTTACGGGGTCACATGGTTAAAGGGTCTCTTGTTACCCAGGGCCGGGTTTAACTAAACCCCAGATAAGTGTAAATTTTAAATTTAGTTTTATACCACTACAAAGGCATCTTTCTTTCGTATTTTTTCCCGTTAGTTCTGGGTTATATTGAGATAAAACCCAACAAAACCTTAGCTCCTAAACACACTCCTCTACATGACAAATCAAAGCCAAGGTTGACTTTTAATCCTAGATTGACAAAATTAACCCTCTCTTGAACAATTCAACCCAGGAGTACAAATGGGTACAGTCAGGGAGACCTCAAGTATTGTTTGTAAAGGGGGAGGGGAGAGAGAATGGAATGGAGTAGCATCCTGTTGAAAAGGATTTGCAATTCTCCTAACTGGTCACCTCTTACAGAAACTAGGATGCAGTCTAGCAGTTAAGGGACTCATTTGCATATACAGACTTAAGCTCTTTATCCCCTAAGAGGGATTGACATCTAAATTCTCCTTACCATATCACCTCTCAATCAAACATTAAGGTCAGGAGAATAAAGGAAATGATCATCAACTAAAGAAGCTATTGATTGTTAAACAAATTCTCCTTGTTCATACCACAGATTGTGTGCAGAGAACAGTATGAATGGAATATGCCAACTGATATTAAGATGTAAAGGGTTCAAAAGTATTCTAATATTTACATATAGTACCTTCTCTTCTGAGGGAACTGTAAGCTGGTCACTGCAGACAAGTTCTTCTACTTGAATGGTTGGCAGGGCTAGAAATTCATCGGCCTGAACAACCTCACTAAAATGTTTCTCAGCAAAGGAGTGAGCGGCAATCATTAAATCACTGCAGGAATGCATGTCAGCAAAGGCTCTGATTCCTAAGCAGTTTGTGGAGTGGAGTTGGGCCTTAAGAAATTCACAGCATGCATCTTGGACATCTGTTAACTGAAGAAGATTGGCAGCTGGAAGCAGAACCTAAATGAAAATGAAAAAAATTTTAAGGAACTTTCAGGCACAAGCTTCAAATGCAATTACCACAGAATATTCAAAACAAAGATGACCATACAGAATGGTTGATGCTTTTGTGTACGCTACTTTATTTACAATCTTGTCTTCAAATATGTCAAAAAATTGACAACAGAAACTGCTCTTTTGAAAACAACATACTCAGTAATCTGGCCACATCTAAGAAGCCACAAATCATGCTGCAGAGACCACTGGATTCATTGTTAGGAAAAATCACTGTTTGAGTCAAGAGTACCAATCAAAGAGATCCGTAAGAGACAAAAAGAGTAAAGAGAGGGTTCACTGGGCTATGGATAAGAGGCCAAGTTGTTGGCCAAGATTCCAAAGGCAGAGCCCAGAGATGAATTTACAGCACAATTGGTGATACAGCACTTTAAGGTAGGTTGGTTTCTTACTGGGATCTCAAAATCTGGTCAGTGACATAATTACTGTATACTGATTAATAGTTGAGATAAAATAACATGATGTCAAAAGCATTCTTTACCTTTACATACACTTTAGGGCTTACATCATTTTATTGGTTTTAAAAACAGCAATAAATCATCACCTGAACATTATCCTCGGTGACTTCAATCTCAGCTGTATACACATATTGCACCAAAAGTTCAAGTGCATGGCTGTCAATTTCACGCATTGTTACCACAGTCTGTCGACTTTCTGACAGCTCCCCAGTAAACATTGCAAGAAAATAAGGACTTGATGATGCAAGGACAACCCTGTGTGCTGGAATTTCACTTCCTGCTGCTTTTAACAAAACATCACACAACTGGTTTTGTTCACGCAGGGTGTTCATAACCTGGAAAGATTTGTTGTGACATTCTGGACTTCTGTAAGGGGGAATCACTACTTTTTCTTCTGGTTGAGGAATTTGTTCTGTTTCTAGGAGAAATAAAAAAAACCATTTTAGTTAATGTTAAAACAATGTGATTGTTAATTCTCCTCCTCTAGCCCCTTCAAATTTCCTAGCAAATTAGTTATGAGAATTGTCGCTAGATCAAGATAACAACTTCTACCTGATAAGTTTGAATATTCTCAATACCTGTTCCCTGGATAATGTATGGAAATCATAAGGAGAAGTTACAAGTTGATCAATTTCAGGGTAAACATGTTAAGTGTAGACATCAAGAAGCAAGAATCATGGCAGTTGAGTCAGGTTACTGCCCCAGACTCTGAAACTCTGTCCTTATCAAAGTCATTGTATTGTGTTACTTAGAAAGCCATATCATTCCCAAAGTGCCTTTTTTTTCTTAAGCAGGATTTTCATTTAGAAAAGTAGAGGACGAGAACAATGTCAAGTGACCAAACAATACTCTGTTCATTTCTTAACCCTTCCCTCAGTGCTAATTTTTGCTGTCAGCGACATAACTCTTGTGAGGTTACTTTGGAAAATTTGGCATTGGATCAACTTATAATTCCCCTAATTGATATATCTTTTTTCATTCTCGTTCGCTTGATGTTGTATTGGTATTGTACGGATAAATTCTGTTTTGGACAATTATGGAAGTCGAAGGGTAAAAGAAAACCCTGGTACATGCCATTTTAAAGAACTGGTCTGGCTTTTTTGAGTAATGGATAAAACTTTTCAGTAGATATTGGAGCAAACCTACAGGATAGCAATTCATTCCTTACACTGCACAAATCAGTATAAACATGTTAGTTACTGCACAGGAAGTCAATATGGGAAAAAAACTGTTCCCCAGTTGTAATGAATTCACACAAAGGCCACACTCAACAATAGGGGCACAGTCTTTTCCCATCTAGACAGACCTTGACTGGTTATTAAATCAATTTTTCTTTTTCCTCCTACAATAGTCTACTTTTTTTCTGCTTTGTCACAAACAGCACCGAAAAAAAATCCGCAGCAAGGTCTATATTGTTTAAAGCCAGACCGGTAACAAGTGCAGGATTACCCAATCAAACTGAAGAATTTAAGATTGAAGCCCACAGGAGATGCTTTGGGGAAAAAAGATAGTTGTTACTCATAACACAACTTATGAGTAACAACAAAGTATCTTCCATTCACAAAATTTAACAGTTACACAATGAGTTGTGGGATACTTGATTTGTGTTTACATTGTGTATTACAAATTTGTCAAGGAGATTGACAGAAAATTGAAACCCTTTCTTCTGTTCATAACAAGTCATTTTCAATTTTGAGTCCCCCAAGGAAACCAACATTCCTCGACCATGTTTCCACCACTGATTATCAGTAAAAAGAAAAAAAACATTGCATATACTCTCACACAAAGCTTTGCGGTACATCTCTGTGAAAATCAACGCATGAAAAACATTACTGACATTTCGATTTGCAATTACTTCTATTAAAATTCCAAAAACATGGAACACCCCTTACTTCAATGAAATGCAAACATATCTGCTTAATTAAAGCTTCTATATTTGTCCGTTCGACATAATTTCGTGTAAACGATCGAACGAAAACATTTTTAGCAGTGTGTAAACCAATTCACGCTTTACGGAAAGTCAACCACACAGTTTTCAAGACAAGAATTCTTGGTAGGAAATGAAAAAGATCGCCGTTTAGCATTGCTGTCATATCATTAACAGCTAATGTGCAGTAATATTAAAATACTCGCTGCATTTGCGAGTTCCAATAAGACTTCAGTGTCACCAAGAATATTTTTAGCAAAGAAAGCTATGGTAGTTTATACTCACCAAAGTTAGTTTCCTTCGACATGGCTGTGGTATATATATTACTCAAAATGTGCTTTCCTTGATGAATGTAACCTTTGTAAGCTGCTAAATTGCCAAAAAAAAAATACCAGAAGATCGAAGCGAGATACAGATCGGTGGCAGTAAATTGTGAACAGATGTATGTATGGATTGAAAAAAGTTAAAAAAGAAGTGAGTTCCTCATGATGCTAGATCTTTGCTTTCCTCCGAGCTTTCTGTGTTTTGTTCTTAAGATCACACAGAATTAAACCGTGATCAAAAAGACAAGATGTTTTCAAATTAATATTTGCGCTGGAGTTTTCGCCGCAGTCACTTGAAAGCCACTTTCTTGTCGGCCCGGTTACTCAGCTTCAATCAAACATCCAAAAGCATTTGTCAGGGGAGGGGAGAGGGCCGCTGTCAGCCACAGGTAAGGGCGAGGCATTAGCGGCGGATTAGGAGAGTGCAGCATAAAAATCGGCAAGATATCCAATCTCGTGATCTTTCCACACAACCTTTCATTAGCATCGCCCTTGGCGAAATAATATGTTGTAAAACTTACTTTGAACAGCCCCTGCCTGTGAATGAGAAGCTTATCAGTCAACACCGGCAGTCCTTCATTAAACTAGATAGCATTTATATAGGAAATTAGACGAGTTTATTTTGTCTGTGGGATCCCAATTGAATGCTAAGCTGAAAGATTTAGACTGTGCCGAAAAAAAAAAAAAAACAAAGTAGGTCACACAGTTCCACCCCCATTTCATTGAAAGGAATTCACAGAACTATTAGCTCAAACTTAATTTTTCTCATGAAAAAGTGGTCCAATTTTATCTCTTCAGCCCCTTCTGTAAGCTAACTGTAACACATTCAGTGGTCAGATTCCAATCTTGCAGCTAAAAAAATAATTAAATAAATAAAAGCACCTAAAAGGCAGTCTTACTTGATGGAAATAGTATAATTCCTGAATTAACACTTTTAGTCCTTCACGTGACTGAGATCTACTAGCTTGCAGGATCACTTCTGAATCAAACATTAGGGTCATAAGAATATTGAAAATTATTGCAAACTAAAGAAGTTCGTGATTGTTAAATAAATTCTCCTTGCCAGTACCATGGCAAATGTATAAGGAACAATATAAAGAATATAGAAATAATTTGGATATATCAACAAAGTTGAAATGGTAAATTGGCCACCGTAACGATTACAAAAGCTGACATTTCGAGCATTAGCCCTTTGTCATCGTTACGGGGGCCAATTTACCATTTCAACTTTGTTGATATATCCAAATTATTTCGTTACTCCCACCGACGCAGCCCCAAACAGTTTCTTTCGAAACTATCGGCCTTTATTAATTTGGAGAATATAGATATTGATGCAAGTGTGTAAAGGATTAAACAATCCGTAGTTTGGACCTTTCTCCCCAATGCAAGTGAATAAGGGTATTGTGGACTAAAAAAGACAAAGAGATCTATATGCTACTGATCTCTCATTTGTATTGACTAGTATTCCGACAAGTATGGTCTAAACTGCCTCAATTCTTTTTTTCTTTAGATCTGAACTTATAAGAAAACTGAAATGTCAGACAAAAATCAGTTTTTCAAATGATGTTCACTCAACCATTCTGGCCTTTAGTTCAGCGAGAGAAACAAAAGATCACACACACAAAAAAATTATCATAACACACCCATGTACAGAATGACAGTTTTCCATTTCTTGAGGAACACAATCTTTTTTCACAAAACAAAAACCATTAATAGCTACAAATAGCCTTTTTATTGTCGTTAGCCTATGACTCAATAGTTTTTCAAACAACTCCAGAAACTGTCTGCCTTAAAATGATGGGTCCTTTAACCCACTGCTCCAATCTGATAGCAAACTCATTTCCCTATGACTTTCATCAAAAATGGTAAATTATACAAGAAAGTCTTGGGTAAGTCTAAGATAAAAAATTAAATAGAGTGATGGTGGTAAGTCTATTTTGGTCTGCTAGCAAGCATTTCTCTGATATTATCTTCATGTTCTTTGACACTTCTTTGAAGATATTCTTTATTAGCCTAGAGAAATAAGGAAACAGTAGATGTAAATACACAGATGCAGTATAAGGACAACAAGAGAAGTTTATATAAATCAAGTGCAGGCCAAGATCCAGATTAATAATATCACAAATTTCATAATGCACATGCATCAACTGGGAACATTTGCCACCTTTCTGCCTAAAGTTTGTTTATGTTCATTAAATGCTAGCCATTAATGATATTTTCTGTCCACTCTTCCCAAATTGAACTGAAATTTTGTGGAGAACCTGGAGCAAGGACAGGAACTGACAAAAGATTTGAATAGCAAGTAATAGCTACTGTAGTTAGTAATGAACTCCATTCTTTACTATACTAATATGATACTAATGTGATATGATGCTTATTCAAACCTTTTGGAGAGAGCTCAATTACAGGTTTGTTACAATGAGATGTTGTTAAGGTTGAGAACAGACATCGGCATTTTCTCAGGCGCCTCTGGCAGCCGCTTCAGTCCATATCGATCTCACCTTCCCACCCATCCCACCACAGGGGAGGACATCCATCACACAGTAATCTCATGTGTGGGAAATTAACGTCTCCTACCCCAACCCTGCAGGAGACGGGACCTCCATTTATTCGTCCCTATCTGAGAAGACTTGAATATCTAACCATTTCTCGATGTTATAGAAAGGTAGCAAATTCTACTCAATTATTTTAAGACCTTGAGTGTTGGTCCGGCCGGGGCTCGAACCCTCGACCTCCCACACAACAGTCCAGCGCACCATCCATTGAGCTAACTGGGCGGCAGTTATATCTTTATGTACCAAACATATCCAACTTAGCCCTTTAACCCTTTCATTCCTGAGATCTTGTTAGTAATTCTCCTCACTGTTGGCCATACAATTCTTATGATATCAGTTTGAAGGACTTGGTATTGGATCAACTAATAATCCCCTGATTGATATTTTTCTGTAT